CTCCCAGCAGTTCAGGCATTTAGGAATCATATCTTTAATGAGTACTGGGGCACATGTAGGCGCTTTTTTTGGTAGCGCTATGCTGCTCCTGGTTTGGTTTTGTAGCATGATGCTCTTTTTGTCATAGGTGTGGATCAGTTTGCTGGGTCAGATGTATCTGGGAGTGTTTGGGAGCTGTGCAGTATCTGTAGGTATGACACATACATGCCTGCTTCCACCTTCCTGCTGGGGTTAATGCTTCCCTCAGCAAAGGTACAAGAAAGGACAGGTGTCTCAGTCTCTGTAGTTCCCATGTCCTGTGAAGCTCTCTAGAAATCTCTTAGTTCCTGTGCCCTGTGAAGCTAGCAGCTGAGCTCTGAAGATGATTCCCCAGGCTGTATGTGCGCTTAAACATCTGTTCTGCTTATCCTGTCCAGACCCCTATGGCATGTGTATCTATTGCAGATGGAGAGATTAGTGTCTGCTGGTTTAAGTGGATGTAGGAACAGTCTCCTGCAGCCATTAGCTTAGCAATGGAATTGCTTTGAAGCAGATTTAGTGGTTGAAGCTCAAGTCTGGGAGTTGACTCCTGGATGTTGTTTCTGGCTTAATGGAAGAACTCAAGGCCTTTTGGGTGAACTAGGTCTGGACTCTGCTGTATTTTTCTTCTCTGTTAAATGTGAAGGAGAGCCCCTTTCTGTAATGGAAGTGCTCCCATTGACTTAATGAAAGGTCACCTTCAGGGTTTAAAAAAATGAACTAATCTCTGTTGGTTTTCTTGTGAAACCATTTTTTTTTCTTTTTTTTTTAAACTTAAAAATTCCTTTTTGGTAAGTGACAGATGCAGCATAGCCTTTAAGACTAGGGAGATGGAGAGATGACTACCGAAGAGTTGCCCTGTGCCACAGCTTTGTGCCTTGAGGTGTGCCAGGGCAGTTCTCTCATAAGTGAATTCTGCACAGAAAGTTCAGTACATGTATGTATGTACCTATATATACAAACACAGTGTGCAGGCTTGGTTTGAGAGAGTTTGCTGGTTGCTTTGTGGTAGATTGTAGGTTTGTGTTCAGGGGAATTAAGATCCTATGCCTGCCAAAGTCTGGCTTTAACTATGTAAGTAATCTTGCCATTGGAGGCAAAGAATTTGCTCAAGAATCAAGGCCTAAATATTTAATAGCACATGTGTTAGAAACAGTGTTCTCTCCAATACTCTCTCTGCAGCAAGGTTTTGAAATGTCTTGGGTGATGCGAGGGCAGCAAAGAGTTGTAAAACCTAGGGTGAAAATTGAGATGTATGAAAATTAATTTGTTGGCAAGCTGATTGCAATTTTGTTTGGTGTGTTGAATCCAAACCATACAGCATGTAGATGCTTCAGTGTCTTGTGTTACAGGAGAGTCTCATTAAGCGTGTCTAATAATGGTAAACTAGTGTTGCTTTTTCCTTAATTTCTGACAGATGAGTATAATGTGTATTGACACGTGTTTTGAAGCCTGTGTGTCTTTCCATCTTTACTAATGTAAAGGTAAAACTGTGTAGGTTTGATCAGTGGCCAAGTGTCTCCCAGCTAAGGGAGAGTTCATTTTCTCTCTCTCTCTCTCTCTCTCTCTCTCCCCACCAAAAACCCCCCCCAAGCAACAGGGAGAGTTACTTGCATGTAAATGGTAAGATCTGCTGGTCTTGTTATGGAGTGTGGCCCCAACGTGACAAACACTCTAAGAAGTTTATGTAGCTGGTATTTCCTTCAGCTTCTAAAGGCTTAGGATTGTGGGATGTTCATGTAAAACACGAGAAATTTGGGAACTTTTGAACATCTTTGCAGCATAATTTGCAGAGTTTCCATAAAGGTCTTGACATGCTTGTCGGTGAAATGTCAGTCAGGGTCACAGGGGGCTGCCTTCTGCCTCTGGTTGGCTCTCTGGCTGAGGCATGGGGCCGGAGTGGGAGGTCTGTCGATGGGAAAATGTGGAGACATGCAAGGGCAGTTTGAATTATTCAGGAAGACTGGAGAAGCAGCCTTGTGGGTGTGCTGGAGAGGTGGTTGTAGCTATGATGGAGCATGCATATACTACTTGTTGCTGCCTCTGGGCTCTCCATTTGCCACTGTGCATGCTTGCTCACCCCAGCACTTTTAAATGGATCTTAGATAGGTTGTGGGCTGCCACCTGGAAGGAGGAAGCATGCTTTAACAGGTATAGCAGTCTGGCTGCCTCCTGAAATCAAAACCTTGCTGCCTCAGTCCAGCCTTTTGTCCTCTTCATGCTCACAGACATCTTAGAAGTTTTGCTCCCTGGCTGTCCATGGAGTCTGTCTTCCTCAACAGTCCGGTGTGCTCCGGAGAAGCTGGTGGCAAGAAGGCTCTTGAGACATCTTATCTTGTTCAGTGTTGCTTCTTGGAGTAGCTCTGGATTTTCCACAGGAAAATTGTTGATATCAACCTTTTTAATCCAAGGTGGAAGCTTTCAAATTCTAGGTCTTTTCTGATGAGGCAGAGGGAGGTGCTATATAAGTATGAGGAAAACAGGCTTCCTGGGGGGAAGGGAAGAAAACAATAGCTCAGCCACCCTTCTGGAAAACCATGGTTTTGCCAGGCAGGGTACAGACAGGATTTTCCACCCTCCCTGGCTCCAGATGCAGCAAAGAAGCTGAAAGTGCTGAGTTAGGTATTCCACTCCACCCCTGAGGGCCCTAGGTCCAGGAGGGTAAGCATATTTGGGAGTAGTTCCCCAAATTCATATTATAATCAACCTATTAATAGGCTGACTTGGTCCCACCCCCAGCACTTTGGCTGTAACTTTTCTTCTGGGAGACTTGACTGCCAAAACGAGCGTTCCCTTTGGCATCGATTCAGGAGCTTGGCGAGGAGGGAAAAATTACATTGGAGCCCCAATGAATGTGGTGCCAAGTCTCAGCTCACTGACTGCTCTGCTGCTCCTGGTAGGAAGAGTTGCCACGCAGAGGGAATGCTTTATGGCGGTACATATGGGTAAAGAGCAGGGAATAGAGTAGGTGCAAGAAAGGTCAAGCCTGGGAAAATGAGAGAGGTTGGGTGGGGATGCTGGCGAGACTTTTGAAAGCAACAACAAAGGGAAACAAAAGTGGGGGAGGACCACAGTAGATAACTTCTCAGTTGGAAGGCTGATAGTTTTGTGAGCTGAGGCTTGGATTTGCAGCTGAGGCTTTGGTTTGTCCCTACGGGTAGGGACACTGATGGCATCTGTCATCCACAGTTCAGTACCTTCTGGATGGCTCAGAAACTACGTAGGAAGGATCTTGCTGGAGAAACCCCTCCTTTTCTGTAGTTAGGGTGCTAAACGTATTCCCTTCCTCTCCAGTGAATACACTTTCCCCACCCTAGAGCTTTGCTAGTCTAGACAGCTCAAGAAAATGAATGGCTTCAAACACATGTGGTAATTACTGACCTTAGACTGAATGTTGGGCTCCAGTATAGTCTTGGTTTTTCTGAGGTTAGAAATGTCTGAGAGTGAGTCTTTCTCCTCCTTTTTCTCAGCCTTGCAGTAGGGATATGAGGAGCAGGGCCATGATAGTTTGTCATGTGTTGGGCTGTATGAAGTACTGAGAGCTTCAGTCTGTTTTTCTGTCCTTCCTGGCACGGGCTTGCCTGTATGAACCAGCTGGCTAGGAATCTAGTGGGGAGGCCTCCGTACGCCTTTGGAATCAGGGTACAGCTTTTGCAGACGGCTGTGAGCTAACTGATGTTCTCTGTCCATCGAAGCAAGAGAAGCTTAGTACTCAGAAATAGCAGCTCTGTATGGAAAAAGTTTGTTAGAGCATTGCCTGTACCTGTGTTACCCATCTGCATTTGGATGGATGTTTGCTGAACTGCGGTTTAAAAATCCAGGAAGGGAGCAGCTGCTTCCTCAAAACAAGTACCTGTCTCTGAAGAGCCTGTACCTTCCCTACAGGAACTATCAATATCTTACTGAGAAATCTTGTGGCTTGCACATGGTCACAAAACAAACTAGATGCATACATGTTTTGTGGAAGGGGAAAACATTCAGCCTGTCTCCCAGCTGAACTGGAGGCAGCAGAGTAGCTGTTTCTTAGGTGGTGCGTGAGCCCTTACCTTTAATACAAACCAGAACTGAAACAGAATTGCATGGTGGAAGCTGATACCACTTTTGACCCAGCTGCTTTG